GTACATGTGTGCATGTGTGTTCCCCACAGAACATACTGGGCATTACAGACACAGTTGGACTAGTAAGGCCCATCCAAGGTGGGAGGCTAGGTCTCTAGTAGGCTACCTGCACATTTCCAGAAAGCCATTTGGTGTCATCAAGAGTCTTAGTGTATCTGTGGTCTTGGATCCTTTTAACCCGCACATGGGAATACAAAGAGATTTATTGACAGTTTGTTGAGAATTTACTGAATACTGAGAATAGTTACTGAAACTACCAACTAGCAGTCCTTAATAAGTCATTAAAAAGGACAGAGGTGCCAGACATGTATTTACCGGGGATTTTGCCATAAAAGAGAGTAAGATCAGTTTCAACCACTGATGTGACATTCACATGCACTTCATTCCACATGCACATGCATGTACGTGTATGAAATGATAAGGAGACCCACCAAAAGTGCCCATGAAAGTTACCATTACCTCTGGATAGTGAGATCACATGTTTATTTTCATCTTTATATTTGCCAGTATTTAAAAAAAAATCCTGCAGTAGCCTGTTTTATTTATAATACAATCTATCTGAACTTCAATTAAGACAGAATATGGGTGGTATATGCTAGAATGCATAGTAAGCTGGATTGTTACGTGGATTTTTAAGGAGGAGGGCTGCCTTTTTTGCCCTTCGCTGGGAACTGAAGAGAGAACAGACTTCTATCAGAATACGGCAGTTCCAGACAGGAAAAGGAGGATATTGTTGTGAAGTCAGGACTCCCCTTTTCTCCTCCTGAATCCCACCTTTTTTCTTTTCCTGTTGAAGCTTCCTGAGATAAGGGAGAACTGAGATTGGAGCTGGCAACTCCATGGCGCACTCTTCCTGCAGCAGCAACCCTAACGACAGTGAGGACCGCAGCTCAGAATCAAACCTGAGCCTCTCGGTGGGCTATTTCCCCTGTGAGGATGCCTCCTCCTACGAGAACACAATCTCCTGTGAAGATGCAGTATCTGAGGGTCCATCGGTCCCCTTTGTTCCTCAAATTCAAGGGACGTGGTGGACTGAAGGGACTGGGAGACTTGTAGGGAAACGAGACCAAGTTCAGGCCAGCCCAGAGCAGTTCTGCAAACTAAGCATTAGTCTGGCCTGGGATGTTGACATGGGAGCTCACCATGCCGACCCCATAGCTCACCTGGACCAAGTCAGAGACACCCAGTGGATTGACAAGCACCCCCATAGGAGGACACAACTGACGCTCAGCAAACTCCACAGCCTTATGCAAAAGCTTGACAGATTTCTAGAAAATCTGAAAGATGAAGAAGATGATGCCTCTGTGTTCCTTGAGCCTGCTCAAGATGAAGATTCCCAGCTGTTCAGTGGCTTCCCTCCAGATACGGTCCAGATCAGCTATCAGGAACACAATGTTTGTCAAGATCTGTCCAGGCTGATGAACCCACTGGAAAAGGAAGAGCCTATACAGCCTCCCCAGATGTCTTCATGGCTCCAGGTACATGAACTTCCTGAGGTGAGAGAGATGCATCCCAAGCAAAAAGGGGCCAGGCCATGGGATTGTAGGGCAGGTGGAACGTGGGAACAGAACCACCAGGATGACTAACAACAGCAAGGAATGGGCCAGGGTTGGGCTGAAGAGGAAATAGTCGGGAGAATAGGGAGTAGGAAAGTATTGCCCTCCCAACCGTGGATGCATGTAAGTGTTAATCAGTATTAAAACACTAGAGGTTATTTGGACAAGAGAATTTGAGTCACAGGCATGGCTCATCATCAACTCCACTGCAGTCCAGGGGGCACCTCTCTAACTCATCATTCATTTTCTTGGCAGAGGTCAAGTCAGGTTCCTGGAAACCAGAGAACAAACACGATGGAGGCCTCCCGAGGCCACACGCAGGCTGGGTCCTGTCTGAACTTCAGGTGGGTCTTCCGCTGGCTCTGGCGGCAAGTCCTCTCCTCACTTCCAGGGAGAGGGCACCCTGACCAGGCTCCCAAGAACCCCCATCAGCTGGCACAAAAGAAAAGACTCTTTCATAGAGGCAAGCGAATCCAACCTCAGGAATCCCTTGAATTAGGACAGCTTGTATTGCCAGATTTTTAAATGTTTTCATAGCCCCTGTTCTATATTCCCCAGATGATAATTTTCCCCAAAATAAACTAAACAAATAGTCTTGTCACCCATCTCTTGTTCTTTCTAAGTCTCCCCGGGACTCATATGTGGTTGAGGCAACTGAAATGTACTCTCAGCAAGTCTAAGCAACAGCATCCTTCCTCCCCTGAAGCTATTCTTTTTCCCTCCTCTCCTCCCACCCCTTCCTACTGCTCTCTCTTATTTTATACATTTTAATATTTTTGGTTCTCTCTTCAAGATGATAACTAGCATCGTCTGTAAGTGTCTGTTATTTGCAGGTGTGAAGGGAAGTACTTGACAGAAACTTTAATAATACTTGGTGGCTGAGAGATGGATTTTGGATGAGTGAATTAAGATTTCTTTTTTTAAGACAAATTTTACCGATGGGCCGTTTGGTTGCAAGAATTTATAACTGGAGGAGTACCACTTCATGCCTCAGTGGGTGCTCATGTTCACCCCTCCATGTCTTTTGTCATTAGCCCAAATCCCTATTTTCAGAAGGCGGCACAGGGAAGGCCTCCCCCTCCCCTGTCCTCACAGGGGAAGTGGCGCAGGGAAGGTTTAGGAAACCTCATGACCTCCTCCATCCTTTCAGCCCTGAGTAACTGGTCCTTACAGATCCTGCTCTGCGGTCAGTTTGAAGTCAAGATTCATCCTTCCAGGGGCCACTGATTTGCCCTTGACAAAGCTGTGCCCTGCTGCAACTCTGCCCCCTTGTACCTTCATTTTTTTTTTTTTTAAAGATTTATTTTATCTATGCATCTAAGCACTGAGGTATAGGCCAAAGGTGCAGGGGTGAGAGAATTCACCAGAGACAGGGTGGGGAGCAGAACAGGTCGGTCGATGAAGGGATCTACATTGCTGAGGGGAGTAGCAGGCAAGATGGGAGAGGTCTGCTGTGCTATATGGGTCAGCTCCCTGGCTGGGGATCGAACTCATGGTTCATACTGCTGAGACTTAACCCCTTGCACCACCAGGGAGGCCCGTTTCACGTGTTTTTAAGCTTTCTTTACATGACTCTTTTTCCCAGGCTCCAAGCTCTTGAAGGTCAGCAAGCACCTGGTCTTAAGTCCATTTTACCAAAGACCCTAATATAGTGACTGATGCTGAGTGGTTTCTGTCACTATATAACTTTTTTGTATATTGGATATCTATTTCTCAGAATACTTTCCCACAATGTATTTTTTTAAAGATGTATTTATTTATGCATACAGAACTGGGGTACAGGCCAGAGGTGCAGGGGTGGTGAGAGGATTCACCCGAGACAGAGTGGGGAGCAGAACAGGCCAACTGAGGAAGTGCATACTGCTGAGGGGAGCAGTAGGTGGGCCAGGAGAGGTCTGCTGCACCATGTGGGTCACTTCTGGGGCGGGTATCAAACTCATGCTGAAGTGGCTTTAGCTTCTTAGTGCTGTGCTTTCACCCACTGTGCCACCAAAGAGGGTCCAACCCCCACATAATTTTTTTAAATGAAACATACAGCTTAGTGTTGTTATTCTCTGAGTCCAAAGCAAGTGGTGGGAGGCTGGGATGGGAAAGCAAGAAGAGGAAATGCCTATCAGTGATCAGGCAAGGGTGGTGACTCTTAGGCTAAGAAACCAAGACCCGAGACATGCAGCAACTCCTCTGGAAACTTACTTCTACAACTACACCAAAGCCTTCACGCTGCTTTAGACAAGATACAATGATGTGCTGAAAAGGAAGTCCATGTCTCCTTCCATCATGGTGCACACAGTGCTGTAGTTATCTTAACTTTTTCTTTAGCCATGAAGAGTAACTCAACCCAGATAGCCCACACCAAGAAGCAGCCTGGTCCAGCTATGGATTTCTCACACAGCTGTGTCTACTTTTCAGTTGTCTAAATCTGCCTGACAGATGTGAATCTAGCTCTAAGAGTTAAGCAATGGTCTCCACAATTCTTTACCATAAAGTCTACTTTAAGCACTCCTTGGGGTTACCACTATGTCTCAGAATGCATTTTGGAAACAGGAAATATTGCCATCCTCCTCCCCTTTCCTTGTGTCTGCTGTGCTAAGACACTTGTAGCAGCACAAAAAAACTCTGGGCAGGTCCTCTGCTATCTGTCTCTCCCTGGGTCTGGGCAAGAAGATGCCCACTACCCCTGAAAGCGAGTGGGTGAACAGTGATGGACACTAGGTTAGGTTTACTGTCACCTCAAGCCTCTTGTAGAGTCACTACACTTGGCAGGCACACACTAAGTTCGTGAACCAAAATCTTCAGGATCCATTATCTACTGGATCAACCAAAAATCATTCCTTCAAGTGAAATGCTTCATCTTGAAATCCACCAAGTTCAGGACCTAAATTAGTGAGCAATTATCTCAAATTTCCCATTCTGTAATCTCTAACCCCCTAAGCTGATGTTCAAGCCAATGGAGGGACTATTTAGTCTCCCCAAACATGGAAGACTAATGGAGGTTAATGTAAATCTTACAGAGCACCCCACAGCCTGCTAGTGTCTCACTCAGTGGGCTCACCATGAGAGAAGAAAAGTGTGAATGGATCGCAACAGCAAAACGGGGGAGACAGTCTTTTCCAGACTCAAACAATACTATGTGCATTTGTATGACTCAGGAGGCTGCCTGGGCCCAGGTCTACCTGGTAGTAAAATCAGTGTCCAAAATCCTCTTACAAAATAAGAACACAAAGTAAATGACAAACGAATTGCTAGAGGGAGGCTGGTAAGGTCCTTACCCCAATATTTAAGAACAGTTTTGTTTAGGCAACAGGAACTGTTAACTAATGTAAAAGTAAAAGTCTTGTCATTATAAAATACAAGTGAGAGAACAAATATTGTGTGCAGGATGCTCTCTAATTTCAAGATGGGCAGGTGAGTTTTATATTGCTGGCCTGGAACCAAGCTTTTCCTGCTACCCACCTCATACTCTGACAAAGAGAACAACACACTTCTTTCAAAACTGAAATAAGATCCCATCAGATAAGAGAGTCACTGAGAGAGCCAGTCACGAACAGAGTGCACACAGAAGCCTTAGAATAAATTCCCAAATGAATTATAATGAGCTTCAATCAAGGAATCCCCTTCCTGAACAATATCTGCTTATTAGCCTGCCTTTCAAAGGGATTCCATGGTTGTGGTTCTATTCAAATACAACCCCATAGGCTGTAGTAAAAACTACTTCTGAGGGAGGAAAAATGGGCAAACTATGCTGAAGCATTTTCAAATGGGAGGGCAAACATCAACTATTTCTCAGATGGTGGCTGTGGGGGAAAAAAAATCATCTCATTATTATTGAATTTTCTTAGTCTATAAAGAAATCACAATGACAATGTACTTTTCTTTTCTCATTGACACCGATAAAAATCATGGTAAGTATGAATCCCCCAAACTCAAGATCTCTCTCTCTCCAATTCTCTTCCCTCTATACCTATTCAAAAAGGTTAAGAAATACTAGGTAATATAGGTTCCCCTGGCTATCTGAAAACAGTGTTCCTATGAAACCTTCCATAGATCAAAAGTGTGTTAAGAACTTGATTACCGTTAATTTGCATGGAAAACATTCTGAGCATTTCCAGACCAAAACAAAAAACCTACCAAATCATACCAAGTAATACTTGAAATCTAAAAGAACACTCACATCTAGTAAAAGCAGGGTTGAAGTGACACATATGTACTTGTATAAAATCGTCCTAAAAAAGGACTGGGTGGGGTTTCTTACTGTTTGTGATGCTCCTGCAAACTAAATTTTGGTTTTGCTTTTTCTGCCAAAAAAAAACAAACAAAACTCTTCAGATTTCTCTGGGGTCACAACAACAACTATAATGTAGGTCTTTAAAAGCAACATGATATAATTTAAAACTTTTAAAAAGCAAGGGTATATACTAGTCTGTTTGGCTATTTTTGAATTTTACTTCTTCAACTTCTCTGCCTAGATTTTACCACAATGTAGGTTCAAAAGGAAAAATTTTCTCTAGTAAAGTAACCTCAAAATTTCAGGTATAATATAACTATGCTCATAATACAGTCACACCCTGCTTAATGACATTTCAGCTAACAGACCATAAATCTGAGTGTGGTCTCAACGGTCTAGGCCTGTAGAGGGCCCACCCACCAGGCTGGGGCCATTGCACACTGACAGAATGGTCTAAAGAGGCATTTCTCAGCTCATACCCCAGAAGTAAGTGTCACATGGCCACACCCGAGTCAAATGTGAGGACTGAGAAATAATGCTGAAAACGCGAGTGAATGACTGGCCGCTGAAGATTAGGATATACAATCTTCAGCGACCTCCAAGAATTACTCCACTGACTACTTATTAGTTATCAATTACCACAAGTTTTGAGGCCTGCTCATCATGTTTAGCTTCCAAAGAACGTCGTGGAGACTTCTTTTCCTCACATATCAGGTGCAGTTTGCTACTTAATGATACTAATAATTCCCAACAAATTGTTTGACTTTACCTTTCATTTTGGGTGATGCTAGATTGTCCTGCCCCTTCCAATCTAAGCAGCACCAGCAACAAAAAGTGACCACATAATGTACTGGACCTGTTAAGGAAAAGAAGGTGCTACTACCATCTTCACTAATGTCTTTTGGCAATTACTTCTCCTGCAATTAAAGATACACTTTTTCTGTTTAACAAGTGCACACAGTCCTATGCCCTGGACATGGTGTGATGATCTAGAAAACTCAGAGACTCTTCAATCCCAGTAAATCTTAAATGACGTTCCAGGTTCCAGATCCCAAGCCTACCACCTACTTACTTGGTATTACTTAACCTCTCAAGATGTTTCATTTTATCTGTAAAATGTAATACTGACAGCACTGACCTTGAAATGCTGTGTGGTAAGGACTGAATATAAACGCCTAGGACAGAGTGTTTACAAGTTGTAGCTGCTGCCAGTTGCTGTCATATAATTCCTTTGCTTTAGAAATTTGCTATGACTCCGAGTGAGAACATAATAAAATCCCGGCAAACTGCCACTACCACT